TGAAAAGAACTAGAGAGGATCATTTAAAGTGTTTATATATAGAGAGATGTAGTAGTAGCAGAGCAGCAGAGAGTGTTCCCATTGGTCCCACAAGGCTCGACTGCAACGAGCCCTACACTTGAGCGCGACTAAGGTTGAGAGAGTCGCCCTATATAAAGGGCAGCTGCTGCAGCATTTCTTCAGTCGTCCAGGCCTCATGACTGAAACAAAATACTTAGAAGAAATATATAGACAAAATACTTAGAACAAAGTAACAAATTAGAGTAAAGTGAGGTGAACTGAACTGAAGTGTAGTGAAAATTAGTGTGTGATCGTTGAGCTAAGCATTAAAAACTCAGAGGAAATACTTAAATACTCCGAAATTCGTATCTGGATAAGTATATGTTTGCTAAGCATTAATTACAATAATTACAAAAACTTTTCGTTTTTATAAAATGGAATGATACAAGACGATAGTCCACCACAAATTATAATTTCAACAACTAATTTTATTCTAGAAATTACATTCACTACTCACATTATTTCTTTGCAGATTCTGCCTTACAACTATGAAGAATATGAGTTGAATCACGTCTACTTTATTGATTATAATATAACAAACCCGAGCTTCAGATACCAACTGAAGTGAGATGTGGTCAGATGAGGTCAATAAATACATGCATTTAATAAGTCAATTAGAATTCAAATATATCTATATAATATTGTGTTTCTTCTGCTTTGCTGGGCTTTGCCAATTTATATGACTAATGCCGGTCAAGGTCTCGGAATCAAATATTTGACCAGTTGGCAGATCCACTCGGAAACATTTAACCCAACCGTTGCCCCTGGCGTTTGTTTAGGGGGCTATCAATCACGTATTGTGCCTAGTGAACCGACAAATTTCCAGTGCCAAAGCATGCATAAAAACTAGCTGCATAATAAATCACCGCTGAAAATGACGACAGCAACTGTCTGTCGATTCAGAATGTAGCTTAGAACCAAAATGAGTCTGCGGCCAGCGACTTCTTGAACACGAAAATACCTCTCTCAAGTGGATTGTGAGTATATTTGTCCAGCTTAGAAGACTTGGCTGCACTTAAATTCAATGAAGTGTGTGAGACACTTTTATGATGGAAATAAAACAAGTTTTGTAACTACTTAAAACTCAGACTAGTTTGGTCCAAGTTGTATAAACTCAAGTCTAATAAAACTCAATAACTTTCATTAGGGAATTTAATACATATTTATACTTGTATGTATAATCTGCAGTATACTCGAGCATAAATTGCCATGCTTTAGTCAATAACTTTCTTAAGAAACTTTAATACTTATTTATATTTAAACATTTTTAATATCTATTTATCGTATTACATTTAACTTTAATTGAACATAAGTTTTTGTTTTGCTAACATCATTCCATTTGACTCCAACTAGATTACTTGGCCTTCGCTTTGCTCCAATGCCAATGAGCCGACTATACCCAAGCTAATACACCCCTTTGGTTTGGTTTTGGCTATTTTGTCTTTGGCTTTTTTGGTAAACCCAACCAACAACACTTGAAGTCAGGAGCACACTTCCGTCGGCTGCTCATATTGCAAAGTGGTTTTAGGTAACAAGACGTCTGCCACAGAATTGAGTTGACCAGGCTGGGGCACACTGACACACACTCGCCTAGACCCACTTGGCATTAGCACCATTAATTTTGTAGGCTCTGCTCGGTGCCACCCATTTCTGCCTTTGGGAGTGCTGAATGCCTCTTGGTTTTTGCTTTGTTTTTGTCGTTCGCCGGGCAAGGCAAAAGTGTTTCAGTTGCAGACAGCATGTCGGACTAGCCACATTTATGGAGCAAGTGCCACATCAAGTTACAGCCGCAACAGATTTCAACTTTTTATCTAAATCTGACTTCAGTAACAAGCTGAAGCCACAGCCAGATATTTCAGCTCAAAGTGGTTTGGTTGTTTGGCTCGAGTCTGAGCTGCTTTTAATTTATATGGCCACACGCACACAGCCATAAATTGTCAGGCTTGTTCAGAGACCTGAGTTGACGTAGCAATGGTGGCCTGAACCTGGTCCAGCTGACACGCAGCTCTGCTGAGGGCTTCTAGTGGATCAGCCAGTATGCATTTAGTGATAAACCAAGTGAAGATACTTTTATACAATAAACCAATAAAGAGGCTATCATTTGGGGCGCGGAGAGTCGAGTAACCGGATAACTGAATCGCGCATGGCATGGACAACGCAGCACAAGTACAAAAGCATCTTTCCTCGCATAATTTCTCATTGAGCTGATGCGAATGTAATCCCCATGTTGGACTAAGTGGAGCACTGGCTAAAAATAAGGACCACTTTCACTCGGGTGGCCAGCAGACACAACAACAGTGTCATTCCTTGCGACTCCCCTCCGCGCGCCTCGCAGTCTGCCACTGTGTGCGGCTATGTATTGTGTCCGTGTCCATGTCCGTGTCTCCGGAAGCGCATTGTCAGCTCCATTAATGTTGATTATACGTTAATGTAAAGGATCTCGCCCAACTGGTGGACGCGACGCGGCGCTTCGCGAGTGTCCCAATGGGTTGGCGCAGGGCGGGTCGCCCAGAGGGGGGTAAATGTGTTTCGGCGGCGGTGACCGCAGTGCAATTTTCCAGTGCTTTGCAGCGAGCAGACTTAAAGTGGCGTGGAAAAGTTTTGTGCAAAGTTTTAATTTGCATTCGGGAGGTGCCGGCCAGGTAATCGGAGTGTGCAGTGAGAGCCCCAGGGATAATTATAATGCCATTAGCGTGTTTAGTTCACAATCAGGCTTAGCTGCTAATGCCCGTACCACTAGCCCCGCGCCAATTGCTTGCTCCTCTCAGACACTTTGCTGAATTTTTCTTCTTCTTCTTCCAGCAGCTTCTCCGGCCATGCCAACCGAGCTCAAATGGAATGCTAAATGTTTATTTACGCAGCACGAACTGTCAACCGGCTGGGCGTATAACTGGCCTCAACTATTTTGTCGCATTTTGCATATTGCAAATAGCCGCGCGGAGCTGCCAGGCAACAATTTAGCTGCTCCACTGCAAAGCAATTTGAGGCCAGTGGAGTATGACGGTTTTTTGCGGATTGCTGCTGGCTGATCCCTTAAGGTCAACTTAAGGACATTGCAGGAGACTGCAAGCCAGCGATATGCGACTGTAAATAAAGTAAGCAGACGCAGTCAGCGAAGGGAATATATCCTAGATCTCGAAACGACTGAAAACTGAATATGAATCACAATTCTATGTAAATAATTCAACATGCTTATGTATCTTAGCTGAAAATGATTTATGGCATTGTGTGGGATGTGGGAATTGAATGAGTCGAAAATAGAAGGTTAAGAGTTCACATTAAATCTTAAATCTTAATCTATAATAATTGAATTGAATGAGTCGAAAATAGAAGGTTAAGAGTTCACATTAAATCTTAAATCTTAATCTATAATAACGGCAGTCCTCCGTAAATACTCGAGACTGTGAGAACTATCTTATAGTAAAATGAAAATATTTTAAGAAAACAATATAAATGAAATTCTTGACTACTTTTAAGCTCCACTAAGCACTCGATACCTGCAATTAGCAGCTCATTTAATGAAAATATACTGAAACTGCATGTTTTATAAGGCATGAGACGTCTGCAGCCTTTGCGATTGCTCAACTCTAGATGAAACTTTAAGTCGGCGCCTGTGCCAAGGAATACAAAATAAAGGCGTTAGTTGCTCGTGCGAAATACGACCTTTGCCCATAGCTCAAGGATACTTGCTTGGTGCACTCCATGCCAAGAATATACCCTGACTGACTCAGAGTTGGCAGAGAGGCGAATTCAATAACTCGTTCGCCACGCACCAGAAATCTTCCAGTCGATTTAAGCCCGTATCTCTGTCATTGCCAAATTTCGTGGCCAAAGCCTCAGCTTACCTGCCAATCCGGATTGGGTGAGGCAGCGGCATTTGCCATAACGCATCACTAAGCGGGTTGAACAAAAATAAATTTCCCGAGATGCAAATGAAACTTGTTTGGTGAAGCTTGGTGGTATATGACTGATTTTTTTCTCTCTTTTATTATGAACTTTTTTTTTAGGTTTTTTATTATTATTTTCTTACCCCTCTGCGACGCTTGCACGCCGTTAAAATTAGCAATTGATGCGGCTGCCGGCCGACGAACTGTTGATTCAACTCGGCTTTGCAAGCTCAGCGATGATGGAGTCTCGATATAACGAACGCGACCTTATCAATTTAGCTTTTCACAGGAAAGCCACACGGCTGCCGGGTTACCTCGATGGCAGTTCGTTTGTCTGGCTTGTTTTGGAACTTGGTTTTGGCCCATTGGCTTGGCCTGATCGGGCAGAGACGATGCCGCACATGGATTCATTCAACTTTACGCTAATATCACATGCTTTGATTACAGCAGCGTGAAATTTTATTGATTGGCCAGCCAGCGTCGCTTGAACGATGAGGCAGGCCACTAGGTGAATAAGGACAAGCCGCTCGCTCATCATGTATTGATGGCGATGCTCTCCGTGGTCCTCAAGGCTAAGCTGAACGATGTCCTAGAGCAAAGCTATATAGATTCAGAGTTGAAAAAAACTTTTTAAGGCACCCCCCATTGAATCCTGTTTTGAACAATTTGAAACATAAATTCAATTGATTTTAGGGCATTTGATTTGCGAATAGATTCTATAAAGTTTACCCTCTGTCAGCCGAGCTTACATGTAATTATTTACTGCAAGATTTGCTTCGATGTGATAAGCAAAAAAAACTTTATATATTTCTTCGATATTCAAATATTAAAAGCTAAACTATGTATATAAGATAGATCTTTAAGCTTCTTACCCTATGCATTTTTCAATACATTACATGCATAAATATAATTTAAAATATAATATTATATGTGGGATTTATAAAATAATGTTGTCTTTAATAGTCTTACGTATGCCTCCAGCACGCGCATCAACCTCAGTGCGCCTCATCCAAAAGATCCAAGCATTGAATTTCACTCACAATGTCCTTCACACTGAATGCATATGTGTATGGAGACCAAGTGCGAGTGTGTGTGGGTGTAAGTGTGTTTGTAAGTGTGTGCTTGTGACAGGAGCTGCCGCCTTCGCGACCATATTAACTACTGCTGCTGCTGGCGCTGGCTGCCGGCCTTTTGCCTTTGGCACTGTGTGAGTAGTTTTATCCATGGAGCCACCCCGTCTGACAGTTCCAGAGTTTTTGTGTTTTGTGCCGCTTCTTTGGATGCTGGGCCATCGTCTGATTGCTTACACTGTGCGCTCTTATTTCTGCTCTTGTCCTTGTGCGTCCTCGATTTCTTGTAAAAAACACGAAAATCCCTCGCAAAAGCAGAAAAATGCCGTTGTCGCTTAAATTCAATTGAAATCGCTTCAGCTTCAATGCCAGCCCAACGACAGGCAATCTGTCGAGTCTCGAGTCTGATTGAATAAAGCGCGAATGCGCGAAATACGGCTTGTTGGATAAATGCTGAGACGCAGCATGATTGAATGCTGCCAAGCGATACGAGCCCGATATACACACAATATGGCTTTGGCATAATGATAATTTCATATGAAATAAAGAATGCGTAAGTCCTGTAAATGATTGCCAGTTAATAGCGTTATTCTGATCAATAAATCCGTTTATTATACGCGACCTCTTTAAAAGTGAGAAATGCTTTTGGCAATCAAAGTATTATATAGTTTTGTTCTGGTAAGACTATATATAATATTAAACTAGTGACATTCAAATTCAGTGTATAATAAAAACTCTATTTTATTTTTATTTATACAGAAAAAATATATTTATTATTATATTTATAGATGATACTGGCCTGTTTGTTTATATAGGTATACATGTAATATAATATATAGCAATTCGACATGACTTATATACATATGTACATACATACGTGGTATCACAGAGCCATGCATACCTCTCTCTCTCTCTCTCTGTATATTTTTATTCCGTGTAGAGTTTGTTTATTTACCCAAGCGTCTAAAATACCTAAATCGTGTAAAAAGTATAAGGTAAGATAATCAAATAAGCTCGCAGTAACCTTTTTGAGCATGCTTATGTACTTTAGGCAGCTACACATGTTATGTGCATGTCTACAGAATAATATCACAGCACGTTTAATTAGCAAAGAGCTGTGTAGAATACCAAAAAATATCACTACACACAATCAGTACCTATGTACATATATAGATTACATAGGTGATTAGAGCAATTATGATAAAAATTTGGCAAACATTTTTATTGCGCGGCTCGATAAGCCGGTAATGAATGCCTAAATGGGAGCAACAAAGCAAATGAACAAGAGATGTGATTGGCTGTGTGTAAATGCATGCATGTAAGATGCCATATAAACAAGAGATATTACGACTGTGCCTTCATATACATACATACATACACATGTTTAGTTAATTATGAAGGTGTGTGTATCTAAATTAGTTGCATTCTCTTTAGCTGCTAAATTGTATGGGCAGCGAACGTAAAACTAGCTCAGCTGTTCAGTGTTTAACAACACCGTCTTGACCAAAGAGACAGACATAAAGCAAGAGAGAGAGAGAGCGCAAAAAGAGCAAGCAGCTGAGAGGCAAAAACCACAGTGGTACTTGCAACTGTTCCGATACACACTTTGCTCTTTCGCCCACAATGTATGAGAATTATTATTTAAAGACAATGTAAAGACAATTTAAATAAGAAAATATATATTTAAGAATCGTACTTGATAAATTTGTGTAAATAGAATTTTTTTTATTGCATGCGTTATCAACAAATGGAATGCGGTCGCCCGCACAAGCTGTTGACAACCCTGTTTCTCTCTCGCGCCGTCGCTGTACACGTCATCAGCTGAGCAGCTAAAGCAGAAAAATGCAATTTATTATTGTTGTACCGCGGTTTTGCTCTTGTCCATTGCAATTGCGACATATTAATTTGTGTAGATGCTGTCGCACAACAAACTGTAATTTGGGGCAGGCAATAGTGCAACACGTGAACTAATTGTGACGCCTAAAATAGAAGCGCTCTGTGACGACACACACACACACACACACACACTTACTCGCCCGTGACATTGATTCACATTCACAAAGAGCCAAAGAGAAAGCAGCTGTTGGCCGTTGGCTGTTGGTTGGAAAAAAAACAACGGTCTGTGAGCAAAAGCAAAAATAAAACGAGGAAGTGTCTGAACGTATGTAGCCACCCGCCGCCAGTATCAGCTGCTCGCTCTGGCCGCACGCAAAATTTATTATTAATTTAGCTAAAGCCAGGCGCTTGCATAAAATTAATACAATTTTTCGCACATTCCCAACAATAACAGCGACGGGAGCGGAGCTAAATTGCAATAGCAGTGCGAGTGCAGTGACAGCAGCGAACGCAACTGGAAACTGTAAGCTGGAAGTAATTGAGAGCATTGCGATAGAGGGCAGAGTGCATTTAATCAAATCGTTTTGTGTTGTGTAATCAGAAAGTGAACGGAAAAGCCGCTGGCAATATGTCTGATAAGGAGTCCAGCAAGAAGGTGACGCCTCCGAAAGGTATGAAATATCTAATTGGAGGTGCTAGTGGAATGGGCGCTACGTTGTGCGTGCAGCCGCTGGATCTGGTCAAGAATCGAATGCAAATCGCTGGAGCGGGTAGCGGCAAAAAGGAATTTCGTAACTCCTTCCACTGCATTCAGACGGTGATCAGCCGCGAAGGACCCCTTGCCCTCTATCAGGGTATTTCAGCAGCGCTGCTGAGGCAAGCAACCTACACTACTGGTCGTCTGGGTGTGTACACTTACCTCAATGAGGAGTATCGGGCACGCTTCAATCGCGATCCTAATGTGGCGGCCAGCATGGCGATGGGAACTGTGGCCGGCGCCTGTGGTGCATTCATCGGCACGCCGGCAGAAGTGGCTCTCATTCGCATGACCTCTGATGGACGTCTGCCTCTGGCTGAGCGACGCAACTATAAGAATGTGGGAAATGCGCTGGCCCGCATTACGCGCGAAGAGGGACTGACTGCGCTGTGGCGCGGCTGTTTGCCCACAGTTGGTCGCGCCATGGTCGTGAACATGACCCAATTGGCTAGCTACTCGCAATTCAAGACCTACTTCCGTACGGGGCCGCTCCAAATGGAGGAAGGCATCAAACTGCACTTCTGTGCGAGCATGCTTAGCGGCCTGCTGACAACGATAGCATCGATGCCGCTGGATATTGCCAAGACACGCATCCAAAACATGAAGATTGTTGACGGAAAGCCAGAGTATAAGGGCACAACAGATGTGCTACTCCGGGTGGCCCGGCACGAGGGAATCTTCTCGCTGTGGAAGGGCTTCACGCCTTACTACTTCCGTCTGGGCCCGCACACGGTGCTTACCTTCATACTGATGGAGCAGTTGAACACCGCCTTCAACAAGTACGTGCTGGGCGGAGACAAGCGTGGATCCTCAATATAAGAGAACTCGTCCAGCTGTAGCGGGCTTATCGATGTTGTTAAAGGTTTCCCGCAAATCCTTGCACTGCTAGCCAATAAGTTCAATGGCTCAACTGCATATTCCAAGCAACTCTCCGAACGATGATGGATTAGTAAATACGATCAAGACAACAAATATATGGTTCTATATACACCCATATATATTTGTTGAGCGACAATATGAAAAGTGGGGCATTTAAGGTCGGAAATTCCGTTGACAATATGATAAAATATTTAATGTTTGTTGTTAAATCTTTTCTATACAAATATTTATGTAAATTGTAATATAGAGCCCTAAGTGAAAAGTGTATTCTGAATAAAGCACAACAAAGAAGCATTGTATTCCCCAATCTAACAACACTCATTACTTGATTGCTGTTCAATTTAGGCTTTCTAATATCTCGAATACACGATATGACTGCGAGCTATCAATGTCAACAGAAACTCTCATTACAGCATATTAAATACCTTGTCTCACCTGAAAGCATTCCCACCCACTTGTTGCTCCCAGCTAACGCAAATAACACATAGCTACCGCTTGCTAATTCAGCCAACATGTATTATCTCCAACCATATTACCCAACGGGACAGTGTGAAAATATTGAAGTTCTGGCATACACAGTGGCTGACTTACCTTCACATCGGTGGCATTTCGTTTCATTGATAGCAAGTCGGCGATAAGCCCTGTCAAGAGGGCAACTAGACTGTGCGTAAGGTTAGTTCTAAATAGTAGCTGAATAAACAAACAGGTATTATATTCCATGAGCTCATGAGCATTTCTTTTCAGAAGTCTTCGGCATTACGACTATATAGACTATATATAGACCATTTGACCACATATGTATGTTATATATGTATATATATANGTAATCATATGGTTAAAATGTGTGCACATTCCAAAGCACAAGCCTCTAGTACTTGAAACGCGTTTTTTGCAAATTGAGGGCGAAGGGGGCGTGGTATATAAACTCTGTAGATTGCAAAATCTTTGTATCCATTAACTTTATATACAACGCAGATTTGAAGTCTCCAGGTCTAAAAGTGCTCAAATTAGGCTGAAAAAAACCAAGTCGATTTTTCGATTATTCTCGATAAAAAAGTTATCGGATGAGTTATCGAAAAAATAAGATAAACTTGTACTGCCTATGGTATACACGAGTATGCATGCCAAATTTCAGCTCTCTTGCTCTTATATCTTCTGAGATCCTTTTGCTCATACGGACGGACGGACGGACGGACGGACAGACGGACAGGGCTATATCGACTCAGCTCGTCGTGCTGATCAAGAATATATATACTTTATGGGGTCTGYGATGMTTCCTTCTGCCTGTTACATACTTTTCACAAAACCATTATACCCTGATTTCCCATTTTCAATGGGTTTAGGGTATAAAAATAATTTAGTCTTATATATCTCATATGCTCGAAACCCTTTTATGCCATATCCGCTATCCTGGAATCCCCTTTCGGCTAGTTACATAGTCCTTAATTAAGCAGTTACACTGATTTGGGAATACAAATCAACCTTTGCTTAACTTGATTAGCTG